GAGTTTTTATGTCGTTACACAGACAAGACTCGAGACTTCCGGGAGTAAAGTCTGTCTTTTAGAATTTGAAATCCTACTCAAATCCTTAAAGCACGTGTCTGGTATTTCGAGAAAAGTCAAAGTGGTTTTCTTCTTGGCGCGTTTTGAGTATATTTGTGGTTGATTTAACAGTCTAATTTTTTTTTTTATTAACCCTTCTTTCTCGAAGACAAAACATAGATTAGAGTTTTTATGGCGTCACGCCTAGGTATGTTGTAAAGATTCGAGACTTCCGAGAATGAGCCCTGTCCTTTAGAATTTGAAATACTACTGAAATCCTCGAGGCACGTGTCTGGTATTTCGAGAAAAGTCAAAGTGGCTTTCTTCTTGGCGCGTTTTCAGTATATTTGCGGTTGATTTAACAGTCTAATTTTTTTTTTATTAATCCTTCTTTCTCGAAGATAAAACATAGATTAGAGTTTTTATGGCGTCACGCCTAGGTATGTTATAAAGACTCGAGACTTCCGAGAATGAGTGTCCCTGTTCTTTACAATTTGAAATTCTACTCGAATCCTTAAGGCCCACGTACTTGGAAGTTTCAGAGATTGATGGAAATATTGGTACCTTCGATGAAAAATTATCTGTACCTCGAACTGTTCCAACACCATGAAAAATTGTATAATAATCTGATTGACCTCATTTTAAAGCGTGAAGCACTTGACGACCGTTTAAGCTCGTTTTTCCAAACATGTTTTCGCTTCTCAGGTGAAAAAGTAAGGATGCTTTCGTTTTCAAAGACTTTTCGAAAAATTCGAGAACGCCTCTAAAATTACGGATAAATTTATTTGATGATCATGATCTTGGAAACTGAGGATTCTTAAAGACTGACGACTCGCTTAAAAACTCGTTGCACGATTTTCTTCTCGCCTCCTCATTTCAACTTTGGACACTAAAGTCCAAACGATAAAAATTCAAGGAATCCTAGTTATAAATTACTATAACTATTACATTATTATAGATCATTAAAACGTAGATTAAGAATATGAATGTAAACAATTTTTAAGAATACCTAGAATCTGGAAATACAGAGCCGAGCAAGGAGGAGGAATTAATAACTTTTAGATAACTATTCTAATAATAATATTAATTCTAATAATAATATAATATAATAACTATTCTAATTTCCTTCTGTGATATATAACACGTGTCGATCTTCGAGCCGTTTTCTCCGAACCGATCACACACCATGTAATTGCATAATTGCCGAGTAATTAGAATCGAAATAATTTACGTACGTCAAAGCGAATCGTTCTCGCTCGATAAATTGGCGAAAAACGATATTAATCGACGGATATAAAGTACAAAGTACATTGTTAATTAATAATTATTTAAATAGATATTAAACGAAGAACAAGGATCGATGCGATTGTGCATGGACGCGGCGTGACGACGCGACGCCGTCCGTCCGGCTAAATATAGCCTGAAACGAACGAGTCACCAACGATCACGAGTTTCGTTGCACGTTCCTCAGACACGCCTCCACGAGCGTCGTCGTTCTCTGAACTCGGTGGTTACAAGGCTTTTCACGAAAACGCCGAGTGTCTTGACCGATAACGCAGCTGATTCGTGAACGGTGATGCCTGACCGCTTTATCCCGTTAATTACATCGATTCCGGCGGAACGCGAGACCGATCGTTGAAACCGATCGTGTCGGAGCACACACAAAGGAGTGGACGACCGCTTTCGAGCCGTGTACCGCGATAATCCTTGTCGGCGGGGAACGACATTTAAAAATCCAACGTCGGACATTATCTTGTATTTGCGTTGGTATCGCAACGATCGACGTTCCCCCCTTTAGTGACAAAGGAAAAGAAAATGATACGCAATCGGGAATTTCTACGCTGAGATATAGAAACTATAGTGGCTCGCAGAACTATACGAAATATTTTGAAACTTTCTTAGTAATATTAGAGTCGATTATTAGAGCGATCAAGCGTGAAACTAATGTGAAATGTATATGGAAGTTAATTTATACAATGGCGGGCGAAATTAATATCCACGATTTCGTAATTAAAAACACATCTTGTCAGGATCGTGACCAATTTTCAATCGCATGTTCGAGATTTCTAAACAGGATACCCTGTTCCTATTGAAATTTCAAAACGGTTTCGATTTATATGGGCATATATTCGAGTCAATCGCGCGCTCGCTCGTGGAATTTGCAATCGAATCTCTCGAAAGAGAATATTAAAAATGAAATTGCTGCAGGGCCAATTAAGCAAAACAAACAAAACGATCCGTTAGAATGACGCAATATGAACAGCGAAATTCGATGGTTTTTTTTTTACCTGGCCAGCTTGCGGTTTTGCGCGTTATCGCGTCCACTCGTCATCCAATCAAAATCGAACTAGCCGATTTTCCCTCGGTGGTTGTGTGTTCGGCGCGATCCCGCCCCTCGATCGCGGATTTATCCGAAACGGATCAGCGAGACGTCTAGATCAACGAGTTTTATGAGCCGACCATTATCGATCCATCGATCGTTGACGCCTAACGGGACATGAAAATAATTCAACCTATCGGTACTTGGAACGCACTTAGATCATCGGCGATCGTCCGTTTCTTTTCCAACAAAGAATCCTTGTCCACGGCGCGTTCTTTCTCTCGACATTTACCTATTGTTCTATCGTCTCGAAGATCCACAGTCTTTCTCATACGACGTCGAAAGTCACGATGTCAAATACTAACTAACAATGTAACCTATGAGTACTCTGAACTTACATAGGTTAGTTTATAACGTATATAAGCGTATTGGAGTCAAACTAACATAAAGTTAAAGTCGTCAGAGTAATCAAATAGTGTTTACATTTGGAACTTCGGAGCGCCGGAGCTTCCCAACCAAAACAAACATTCTTCGTAGAGTTTTCAAGGCAACAAATTGTATATCGTAATTGTAAGTGTCAATTCCAAATATATAATAACTGATTACAGTTTCGAGTTTCCCAACGATACAAGTAAAATTAAAAACTCGATAAAACTCGAACGCGTTTTAAAATTTCGAGCGGGAGTGTACTCACTGCGCCGTGCGCATAAATGTCTCATTCCTCGAGACATTGGTTCCAATACTTCGTCCATTGTGACTTTACAAATTTGATTGCAAGCAAGCTTACCTGGTCGACGCTGATTCGTGACCTTCTGGTGGTATATGCGACAGGCCCGCTAATCCGACGAGATACACTGACACTCCGGGATCCTCGTGGATGCACGGTCAGATTTTGCAATCTGGAAGGGGGCAATCGAGACGGAAAAACCGGGCAGAACAACAAACAAGTTAGGATCGAGTGGTCGCGCGCCACTCGCCGAAGAAACAGAAACGAAACGTTGTATACGTCGAGAAATGTGCTAGCCGCTCGATCGTGCGTGTGCGCGTGTGTGTATGTGTGTGTATATACGTACGGACACCAGGAAAGCAAGAAAAATTCACGCGATCGGTGCGTCGCGGCCGGTGCCGAGCCGACTGACTGACTGACTGACTGACTCCGGCAGTCAGCACGTACAGTCACCGCACTTGCATCAACACCGGCTGGCATCCACTTCCCCCGCAGCCTCTCGTTTCCAGCTCCATTCCAGCTCCTCTCAGAACCGTGCCTTCTCTCGTCTATCTCTGAGCCGGGGCCCCGCCGGGTTAGCTGCCTGCGTCTTCGTGGAACCGCACTCCAGCTGCGCGCTTCCCTTGGTTCGCCACGCTTCCTCGCTCCCTTTGCTTCGTGAAAGCGTAGAACTCGATCAGGAATCCGATGAATTTGATTTTCCGTGTCTAACTGCGTTTGACCTTTGACTTTATTTTACTTTTAAACTACAAGGGAGAATTGGAATCATAACGTGTCGGTGTAAAGTCTGTACTTAGTGTTTCTCGTAATTTTGAAGGTAATTACGAAGGAACCAAGGAAACGATGAACTTTCAAGAGTTGAAATATCCTCGAGTTCAAACCCTTGAGAGGTCTTGATTTACGTCGTTGCGAATTTCAGCCCACCGATTGAAGCGTATATTTAGCTAAAAGTATTTATCGCCACGGTATCACGTATTAAGGACATTAATTAAAGAATCGATAATGGTGATAGGTTCGTGAATACAGTGTTGTCGAGAGATTAAATTCTTTCGGCATCGATAAAACTTTTGTATTCAAACTGGTTTATCGTGCAACGAACGCGCAAATTTAAAATTACACCGCACGTTACGTTGTAACATCGGAGTGGCTTGCATTATTTATAAATGCCCGAATGAAATTAATTATTCCAGCTTGGTTTATCGTAATGAAGCATATCTGTGGAAACGAGGCCGCAAGGAACGTATCGCGGTGCACGATGCACGCAAAAAGCTAAATACCGAAGATTCCTAGAATCAGTGCTGTTAGGCGATAAAGCGTTTGCACCTGAATTGATTAGCATCTTTCATTAAAATTAATGGAGAATCAATACTAATCCTCCTACGATCGCGCATCTATGTTCGAAGCATACGAACGCACTAATTAAGCGAAATATCTGCAACTGACCGAGATGCATCGGTGCGTTGGCTTTGGTTTTAGGGACAGGCGTGCATTGAACGTTGTGACAACGTTGTGTTTGTGAAACACGCATAATATATACTATATACTGACCAATATTGCGCTACAAAATACTTGTCTCCGTAGCTCCGGCAGAAACCAGTTTATATAAGTCTGTTTTACCTTTTGAGTTTTACCACGGTGAACACACAGAGATTTAAGCATAGATAAAGCGTAACACAGATCTGTCACTCAACGTAAATTTATGTCATACTTGCAACATTATCGATTCAGCGCGGAATAAGATCACGATATTACTAGTGGTTAGAATTGAAACTAAAGATGTAGGCACGAACAAGGCATATAATAGACTTGAAATCTTATTGGATTTCGCGCTGCAAGTTCTGCAATACCGACGCATTCCGTTACGCCCTCTACAATTTGAGCAAGTATAAGAACCACTTATATTCAATTCAATTAAACAATAAAAAATTTATTTAAAGTCAGAAAATTTATAACTATTTATTATTAAGATTCACATTTTATACTCTATACATCTCACAGATATAAATTTTATAGTCTAAATTTACGTTATATGTCAGCTTAAACATCAATACATATCGATTTTATAAATCACGTGCTAAACAATATTTGTTACATGCAATCAACTTCAAGTTTATAATAATGTAAATACAAAAGAATACCTATCTTTATCAAGACTATTTTAAGACAAAAATTTCAAAAGAGCATTAATATTTTCTGAAAGTAAGTCATCCTCCGAGATTACTTTCGATATATCGACAATTGCGTCAGAGGCGGCATTCAGTTTTTCGAACGCGTTCCTCGCGGTTACAAGTTCCATTAAAACGTTTTTGAAAAGTAACTGAAAAGAGGTGTTTTGTAAGTGTCTCGCGTGTTGTGTTTTGTGAGATTTGAAGCGATTATCGTCTGCTCACCTCAGTTCCGCCATAATTTGCAATGCCAATACAACCAACAAACCCTTTTCCGTGAGTATAATACCCTAACTTCCTTCTTCGTAATCCAAAGCAGAAAACAATATTTTCTTTCCTGCATATATCGAGTAATTGATTGACTTGATCATCTAATCCGTCTAAAATTTATCAATACAATCGTCATTTTTTATTCGTGCGAAAATAAACATCCGATATTTACTTTCGAGTTCAATTTTCTCGATATCAGGAGCGACAATCACGAACTTGAGCTGCTTCAATTCGGCGTGCTTACGAACTTCTTTCAAACCAGAATAATAACGACGTTTGTACTTGGATTTGTTTGGATTTCTCTCGTGATATCTCTTTTGAAGCATCGTGAGTCTCTCTACAAATTTTTCAAGGTTGTCGTTCAAGGTCGCTGTTAACGTATTAGTGCAGTATCTGTAAGATATTTGAATTCGCAAGATCAATTCAAAATGATTCCACAACGGCAAAAGCAAAGTGTTTTATATAATTGTAATTGTATATATATATATAATTGCAATCGTAGAAGGGTGATAGGATAAGAAAGCAGGATAGGTTTTGACAAATACTTTGATAATATAGTCTATATGTATCATTTATTGCGTCAAGAGTTAATAGAGCATGTGTACAAATATGTGTATTACAGTGTCACACGATTATGTATATAATTATTATACAAAATATTTATTATTCATTATGATAAGTGCTTACTCACATACAATACTTACTCTCTAAAGTTACGAGAAAATTTTACAGAGTTTTTATCATCTGTCATGTCTGCATTGTTTTGAACCTCTGGCTTAACGTCCTCTTTAATATGAAGGGAGCGAGTTTGTTTAGCAATATCATTTTCAATTATATCACTAATAAAGTTGGAGAAATGTGTCCTATTGTTTCTTGCGACTAATTTATTTGTTAATTGCCTTCCTTGGATCCCAAGATCATTTATTTTTCCAATGACATCTGATCTGTGAGAGAGCGTGTTATCAGAGATATTTATTTCATTTATATTTCTGTAGTTTTTGCCATACAGTGTCATTGTCCACATATTTTTAATACAGTCTACGTCTGTTTCTGGATCTGTTGTGATTTTTAAGGCATTGAAATTTATAGTATCGACATCCTTGCAGATAGCCTCCATTTTTTTACACTCGAAGATTTCTTTTTTCTCAACATTAATCTGCGCTTTCATGTTGCGATTCAGTAGAATTATTTTCTTCACTTTAGATGGTTTCTTATTTTTGGAGATACACATTTTCACTTTCCTTAGATCTGAACACTTGTTTTTATCCAATGAATTTGGTAGCGTAAAACCAAGATTATTCATGTACAAATTAATCTTTAATTTAGGAACTTCCTTGCCCATGTTAGTTGAACATATAGTATTCTATAAATGAGATTGTAAAAATTATCTAATATTTATTATTATCGAATGATTATTTAATTATAAAACTAACAATAATTACCTGTAAAGCTTCTTGAAGATTAATGGAAATCCTATCTGATTTCTTGTATCTTTTTATAGATCTCTTTGGTTCCGTATTTGTTTGCATGGGCAATAAAATCCGTGCAATGTTGGGTGTTAACAAACATTCTTCTCTTTGTATAACTGAATTCTTATTCTTGACAACTGTACCATTTAGTTCAGGATACTCGAGATCATTCAAATTTAGAAATTTCTTGTCCTCCTCATGTTTTTCGCAAGCATCAGTCCACGGATTGCGACTGAAAAGAAATATATAGAAATATATGACTTAAATTTCCAGATACTTGCGAAATCATAATTACTTATCAATACTTACGGAAGCGACCACGTGAAATCACCAATCTTTGACTCCTCCATTCTATATTACTTGTTCAATTTCCGTAACTACCATGTGAAGAACACAGCTCATAATTGTTACGATTATGGTTGCTTTTGACCGTGAACTACGCAAAACATACGTCACTCACTAGGAACATGTAAACAAAATTATACATCATTGCCATCTATTTATTCTCAAGATACTAGAACAAAGGCCCTAGATATAGGGAAAATATAGAAATATAATATAGAAAATTAGAAATAACATCAATACAATGACGTGGCTAGTACTGCACCGTGGAAACAATTTTTCGCTCGTTTTTACTAAAAACAAATTGATCCTATTAGGTTTATAGTAAAATAATATCTGTTATTACGTCTTTTAAAGCAAAGTTCAGTGAGAAGTTAGGCATATCAAGAATTGGTAGACATGATGACTTACTTCCTAGTGAGATAATTTTAGAGATTCTCCGTTAGATGTTACCACTGTCGCGCATCATTATTTGATTTGTTAAATCTTTACAGAAATTGCAAACGAAATTTTTTTTACAGGGAATAGAAAGGGAATATATACTCGGAATCAGAATTTTATATAGTTTATTATTCGTATAAACGTTACGTACATACGCTATAAGATTTATTCCGCGATAATTAAACTTTTCGTTTTAATTAATAAGTTTTAATTAAACAGCACCACGCATATACTGAATTTTGCAAAGGTTCCAAACCTCCGCGAAAGAGGTTTTCCCCGTCTAAAAAATGACTTCATTAACTCGCAGCCAATTTGAAATGCGCTGCACGTACAGTTGACCGTAGGAAATTTTATACGTCGCCATCTGCAAATGGGAATACCAACGAAAGAATCAAATTGTACCCATCTTCTAGACTAATGGAATCATATTATCGTTCACATTTTACATTATAAATCAGTCCCTTCCCGATGTTTCTTTTTCATTACGTCTCGAGACAGATTTATTGTTCGAGCGAAGTTTTTCATTCGGCAACATCAGGAAGCACTTAGACCCAGTTAAACGATACTCGTTCGTTTACCAATGCATATTTCATACGCTATACATTTTCCCAATATATAATCTATTATAAAATCTCACGAGTTCAAACATAAGCAACTGATCGTCAGTGCATTATCCAACAGTAGTAACAATTACCTCCGGAGAAACAAGCTGTTCGTTGGCCATTTATCGTCGTAACATCGCCCGTCAGAAGACCGTTGTTGGCGCGTAAAAACGATCCCGTCGAGGGTCGACTTTCTTAAAAAAACAAAAAAAAAAAAAAAAAAAAAAAATGAAGGAAAAAGGAAAAAAAAAGAAAAAAGAGGAGGTACCGTTTCTTTTTTCATCGCGTTCTTCTTCTTTCACTGGTGGGATCGGCGGTGGTGCTCGTGCGCCGTTCTCCAAGGACCTGCGCACGTGCACCGGCCTGGCGGAGCGATGGAAATCAATAATTTCCAGGGTATAAAAGATCCTGTTTCCGTAACGTGGCCACCTCTTTGAGTTCCGGTGATCGGTGTGTCGCGCACCTCGGCCTCGAACGTGTTTAGTGGCTCCTTCTTCGTTTACGATTTATCTGTTTCATCGAAGAGGTATACAAGCAGGTAGTCGATTAAGTGAATTAGCGTATAAGGCACACACGCATCGGCATTCGGTATGCCGGTGTTTAGTAAATAAGTTTCTCACCCCCCCCCCCCCCGTGGTCACACGGACGATCTCGGTGTAACCCTGTCGGATGGCTCTATCGAGGCGTCGTACGATAGTATACGTGTACACGCAGGCACGAATGTAGATTCGACGAAATTGCCTAGTTGTTCTTACTGTTGTTCTTGCTGTCCTTCCCCCCCCCCCCTCTTTCTTCGGGAAACAAATGTAAGAAGAACTGACGGACGCCTCGAAGAGCGCATCGTCATCGTGGCCTCTTCGAATACCGACGACAGTCTCATCCGAATAAAATCCGAAATAAAAGGCAGAAGTATCGACGTAAGAAACGATCGAACAGTTTGATCCGTTTGTACGGCCGATCCATTCGACGATTTGGACGGTGACGGTTTACTACGCGATAGAAAGTGCAGCTGCACGTGGCAGGCACGTAATCGAACGAATCGGACGAGCAGGAAAAATATACGCGACGAGTCATTAGCGTTGCGATACTTTCACCTCGTAAATGGAGCTTGGCAAATCGGTATTCGTCGGACACCGCGATACCACCCTACACACACACACACCCGAAACCGTCCGTCTGACTACCAATTAATTTAATTAAGAACTTGGAAATCAGAAAGATGAACTTCTTACGAGATTTGCATACATCCACGAGACTGATGGCTTAAGGATTATACACTTCTCTTCTTGATCTCTTTATAATTTTGTCCAAATACTCTGTACGTTTGTTTCTTTCACTTTATAATTTCCATTTGTTCCACACGGATATGTCGTGTGGCATGGTGTAGGCCTCCTGGGGATCCCCGCCATGTAAAAAAACGGGAACGCGTTCCGGCACAGTACCCCTTGGGTGACGAGGAAAGCTGTGCCATTTTTTTTCTTTTTCCTTCTTTTTTTTTTTTTTTTTTTTTTTTTTGTTTTTTTAAGAAAGTCGACCCTCGACGGGATCGTTTTTACGCGCCAACAACGGTNTTTTTTTTTTTTTTTTATTCGTTCAAACACAATAAGTTACAACCCAGCTTTCCTTGTTTCCCACCCTTGTTTCCTCGTCTCGTTTATTTATTTTTCCTCGTTTTTTTATTTCTTTATTTTTTACGTTTCTCCGCTTTAGCGTTACGCTAATTTACGAGACACGCCGCTCAACGCTTCCACTCTCGATTCGTAAATTGGCTGGCCGAGACGGGAGCACCAGACTCGAACAGCGTAAGTACACAAAGTGGTTAAAGTATTGTTCCAAGGCTGAAAAACTTTGAGTTGCTCTCGTCTCGAGCGGAGTAAACCGCTTTCATACTGTGCCACCTCGCTTCAAGTTCCCTCCGGTTCTCCCTATTCTCTACTTACTCAACCCTTCGTTACCGAGACATCGTTCTCTTTGGAATTAATTCCCCGTACACCCCGATAACTTGCCTCCCTTATCACGAGGAAAAACGCTCGCGACGCATTCTCTGTCAATTACAGGAGGAACGTAGCAACTAAAAGCGCTAAATGAATTTCATTCAGTCGCTGAGAACTGTTTTGATTTAACGCACAACATAGTACCGTAATAATACCTATTTCGTTATAATAGAGATAAACTATATAGAAAAATACTATATATATATATATATATATATATATATATAATACGATATGGAGAAAAATGATCGTTTGTACACAGTGAAAGTAAAAATTGCAAATGACTTTCGTCAATTAATTAAAAATTTCAGAGTGACTTTATAGTTGCAACACGTAGTGTCAATGATCGAAATTGTGAAATACTACATCGATTTATGCCATAAAGTGGTTCTTTAATAACAATAATACACGGTTCAAGTTGCTCTCAATTTGGCTGATTGATCTTCACACGAATCGAGAGGAAGAAAATCATTTAATCATTTTTTTTTTTTGTCTAATCAGTCACGTCGATTTAAACACACGCGTACGAATGATAATTCTCTCCGCTGATTAAAGAACAAACGCGCAATCAGTTGTGCGCAATTGGTTACCTGGAATTTCACTTTAATGGGAGAAATTTGTACATGTTAACCATTAACTGGCTGCCGGCCCATTTCTTCTCTTCGCCTCTAAGCCAAACATTCTGACGCGTGTTCCGCTCCCTCCGCGATAACGATCGAATTCGCTGGAAAGTTTGATTAAAAGCGTAGCCTCACGGCCGCGGGAATAATTCATTGTTCGCGGAACGGGCGCATCGTGTTGCTTCTGGAACAGGTGATACCGGGAAAACCGACGAAACGGTTGGAAACCAAGCGAAACCAGGTTTCATTGTTTCGAGCAACTGTTAATTCCTTTGTGACAGTAAAAGTCTACGAACTTCGTCGGCTTTTCTTTCGGGGGAAGTGGCCCAAATGAAAAGAAAACGAAACCGTGAAGTGGCAGAGTTCTTGTCCGATTAACACGTTCTCTCATTACATATAGCGCGTTCATTTTTATGTTTTTCTCTACAGTGAGAAGTTTTTGCTTCGTTCAAATGAAAACTGAACAGGAAGTGGTAACTTTGTCAAACAATAATAAAAGTATAATGAATCTTTATAAAGTTATTTGAAACTTATCTTTTCACGTAGTCATCATCTTTGTAATTCAGAGTCCACGAAAAGGTCGATGTCCTTATCTCAACATCGTTTCTTCAATACAGACTTCGCAGCGGAAACGTTAGCCCTTCGAGTGTGCCTTTAATTTCAAAACCAGAAAATATATTTTCCACGAAGAAGATTACAAAAATTTGATTGATCATCATCACAAAGATGGTGATTACGTGGGAAAAGAAATACGTAACTTTAAACACATGAAATGAATTTTCATTAAGCGAAGGCTTAAAAATTTTCCAATCCTCGCGTTTCATCGAAGTAATAAACAAATATTAAACAAATAAAAAACAGTTTTAAGTTTCGTTACACTCCGAATCACGCATTTTTCTCCGTGACAGTAATAGTTCACGAATCTTGTTGCCGTTCATTTCTAAAGTAATCTAACGAAAAGTAGTGTCGTCAATTTAGAAACAAAATGCAAAAATAAATAAAGTTGTCTGATTAACACGTTCCCTCACTACTGAAACATATGGTTCGTTTGTTCGTTTATTTATGAGTATTTACGAGTATTGACAAAATTGTTGCGTTTCTCGTTTTCGCGTCTCGACGAGGTAGTAAGCAAATCAACATGAACAGTATGCAACATTATTAATTATTTTCTTTTCTTATGAGAGAAACCAGATGAGGTATTTCAGGCAATTTCATTGTTCGAGCGTTTCGTTCTTTAATTCATTATTCCTGCGGCTGTAAAAGTCTGTAAATTTTGCTCTCTTGCTCGAGAGAGTCTTTTATTCCGAAGGAAGTTCTTTAATGAAGAGAAACGCTATCTATTTAGAAAGGAAACGTAACATAGTACACCTGTCTCTGTCTAGCATTCCCTTGCTACTTACTGGCGCATATGGTACTTGCATCCATTTATCTACGAGTAATATTGCTGACGTAACTGTTGCCACTCCTGTCTTCGCCTTTCGACGAATATTATTAATCCAAACTGACGATTACCAAGGAA